TCCGTGCCTTTCCCAGGGCGCCTGCGGATCCTGCTGGGCCTTCAGCGCCGTGGGAGCGCTGGAAGCGCAGGTGAAGCTGAGAACCGGGGCTCTGGTGTCCCTGAGCCCGCAGAACCTGGTGGATTGCTCCGGGATGTACGGGAACAAGGGCTGCGCCGGCGGCTACATCACCGAGGCCTTCCAGTACGTCATCGACAACCACGGCATCGAATCCGAGGAATCCTATCCCTACACGGCCCAGGTGGGAGCTCGGGAAGCGCGGCTTTCCCGGGAATTTCCCCCTGGCATCGTGGGTCTGGTCCCTGTTTTCCTTCCTCCTCCTCCTCCTCTCCCGCCGAATCCCCCCCTGCCCGGGATTCCTGGTGGATTCCTGGCGGCTTCTCCCGCCCTCGGCTCCGGATCCAAACCCTTCCCAGGAAACTTGGGAGTGTTTTGAAGGGAATGACTGGGCCAGGAGCTGGAATTCCTGCCTGGTTGTTTCACCATTTCTTGGGCAATGAGCCGGAGGGGAGGGAAAAGTGGGTCAGGAGCCTCCGGAAAACACGATCCGGGGAATGCGGGTCAAAACAACGACTCGGCCCAAGGAAAAAAGTGGGATTTAACTCCCCAGGCCGGGAGGCACGGAGGGAAAAGCTGCTGTTCCCGGTGTCCAGAGGGAATGGGAAGAGGCTGTGGATGGGGAGGATGAGGATGGAGCTCCAGGAAAAAAGGGGATGAGGATGGAGCTCCATGGAAAAGGGAGGATGAGGATGGAACTCCAGGGAATAGGGAGGATGAGGATGGAACTCCAGGGAATAGGGAGGATGAGGATGAAGCTTCAGGGAAGGGTTTGGATGAGGATGGAACTCCAGGAACAGTTTGGATGAGGATGAAGCTCCAGGAAAGGGGAGGATGAGGATGGAGCTCCAGGGAATAGGGAGGATGAAGGTCCAGGGAAGGGTTTGGATGAGGATGGAGCTCCAGGAAAGGAGAGGATGAGGATGGAGCTCCAAGGAAGGGGTTGGATAATGGTGGAGACTCGCCCTGGGTTTTTTCTTGGGATCGGGAAGGGAAACCCAACCCCAGGGAAGGCCCCGGAACGTTGTTTTTTGGGAAAAAAAAGACAACCCTCCAGCTCCTCCCAGGAATCTGCCCCCCAACCCCCCGTCTAGAAAACACACCCATCCCAAAAATTCCACGGGGACAGGAGGGGGAAAACACAGAAGGGGGTCAAACCCTGAGCCCCGAGGGGGTGAGGGGCCGTTCCCGGGGGGTCCCTCTGGCTCGTCCTCATTCCCGGCTCTCCCTCATTCCCGGGCAGAACGGGACGTGCCGCTACAACGCCTCGGCCAG